TTCATGTCGAAACACGCCAGACGGACTAACAAGTTACGCGTGGGACGACGGCACGGTTGTACCCCCAATGCCCCGGTTACTTGCAGCAGCCCGCAGCTTTTTACGACCATACGCATCTGCTTTTATGGATGGCCGCAATCTTTCCGAGGCGTCCTGGTCGAATCGCAATCCCTTTCCCCAATCACCAAGACCGTGTCCCCCAACATGTGAACGCACGCTATACAACACGACCGCATCGGACAGCTTTCTCACCGCCCTGCCCTTCACAACCATACCTGGGTCAGCGGTGTGCTGGAAACCCAAGCAGACGCCAGCGAACGGTAGCTATATGCTGCCCCACACCCCCAAAGGCCGCGAGCCGTCCAAGCCACAACAACCCGTGTTCATGTAAGCGGAAAGCCTCGGGCCTACAGCCGACGGCCGATCATCCGGAGGCACATGCGTATCTCGGGATTATACCTGCACTGATCTGAGCGCGGTGAGGGTTCTGTGTTACGGAAAGTCCCACAACGCGGGACTGCCGGATGAAATCTCCTGAAACGACGTAGAAAAATCACTAGCTTAGGCGGCCGGCGCCCATATTGGTGATGTTGTTGGTTCTACGGAGTAGCCTGACATGGCCGCCGCTCGTCCTTCTCACTTGTCTTGGATCAAATCCACCATCGCCTTTTCGATCAGAGGGCAGACGCCCGGGACACTCGATGGTCTTAGACCTACTAGTACCTTGCTAAGGTGTTTAACCGAGACACTTTAGACGCTCCGCAGCCGCCGTCTTGCCGTCTACAGACCGCCAATCCTCCCCGTGGCTTTGATCAGCTGTAACACCCAGGTGCACAACGTCCGCTGTTGGCCTGACTCTGTTCTCAGAGCGACCGACATGATCTGAATCGTGGTTTCAATCTTGCCGGCGCGGCATCTCATGGCGAATGCGGCTCTCGAAAGCAGAATGGATTTGCCGTTATGATCTGCGCGGTTGAACGGCCAAACGCCGCCCCGTCTCGAGCTCACGGGTTCCCGCTTCCGATATTTCTTGATTGGCTCGGTGCTGGAATTACTCTCGATCGAACCAAGATTCTTTGGTCTCCCAACATGTGGCTCTTTCACGGTGAACGGAGACGATAACATCTGCCAAACCATCTGGACGTTTAGTCAAGAATGAGCCAGGAAAATCATCTCCCCGAGCGTCTGGCGGCGTGGGGTTTCTGCCCTGATGCTGCCTGTCTCTGCAATTGGCTTCGGCTGTGAGGCCGTCACCCAAGCACCCCATTGGATGGGGTTGTAGCACGAACCTGCTTCCCGGTCGCAGCTCGCTGGAACCTCGGGCATATCTCATGGCCGAGGCCGTCAACAGTGAGACTGGATATTGGGTCCTCTCGCCTCCACGGGCATTTATCAGCCTGCATCTGACTTGATGATTCTGCAACCTGCCCTTCAGGCACCACAGCCATTGAACAAGACAGCGGCCGGTCTTACACCACCTGAACTCAGGGCAAATTGTTACCGCTAATCTTTCTCAGTCATGCCGCAGAAATATGCACTGCTAGGAGGTTGGATATCCAAACTCCATCCGGCTCGGTTGATGCTCTTCCGGCGTTTCCCTTGGTTTAGCCATGGCCTAAGAGTGGTATCTGGTTTTCAGAGGCGATGCGCGATTGAGGAATGACATGGGACATGATAATGCCAATCCACGGCCATGCCTCGAGGCTGGATTCCGGCAGCCGCGCGAGTCTCCGTCGTCTTTAGAGGTTCGTTTTCCCATGTAGTTGGAGCCAATAGCAACCCCTGAAGCAGACCTTGAGTAACTGTTTAGTCTCGCCGGACCTTTCTTGATGAAGAGCATCCACCAATAGAGCCGCTATTTGAGGGCTGACGACCGACCCAGTGGATTTGCTTGTATCCAGAGGCTCAGGGATTCTTGGGATAAATCTGGAAGCATATACGCTTCAAGGACAAACTGTGAAGGTCGCCTGAGGATTCCGGCTCTCAAATCCTCCACATAGATACAGACTCTGAATGGCCAGAGTCCGTTTTAAGAGCGGGCTATATTCCGTACTGCTTTGGCTCAAACCGTCGTTGTTTGTGGTGAGCTTGTCCGCTCTCCGGTGGCGCCAAATCGTGTTGACGACTTGGTTTCCAAGATATCAATGCTGTGGTACTTCATCTTCTCGTCGGCGCGCGCAATTTGCCTTGCCAGAGCCATCGGTTTGAGTGGCAAACCGTGACGTGATAATATCCGGTCTCTCTGGCCCGTCTGGCCCCTCGCTTGGAAGCACGCCGGTTAGTTGGCTGTCGATTCCCGTGCCAGTTCGTCTCCCTGGAGCCGTTCGGCACCGAAACGTGATTTCGAAAATGCTGGTATTGCTTCAGGGTGCAACGTTGTCAGATGCTGCATGAACCATCCTCTTTAGGTTGCGGGCCAAGATGCCGACGCACATTCAGCCAACTGGGACTCAAAACACCATCATCTTCAAGCTCATGACGGAACGCATTGGGATCTGGAACTCGGGCTTCACCCATCGGCTATCCTGCTTCTCCAAGCCTCTGGAGAAAGCGCATACGGGCGGCATGGAAAATCCGGTGATGATATGGGGAACGTTCAAAGCTTAAAACTACCCTGTCAAGTCCGCCTCATACTGCCACGAGCCGCAAACGGCTCCGGCGGCTGACATGTACAGGCGCCTCTGTTTGAGAGATTCAGGGGCACCGAGGTCCAGTCAGAACAGGACTGCGAAGGAACAGTCAATGTCAATTGCACTTGAACGATCATGTACTCGTACATATCTGACTTCACCAACCTCCTTGCCTTCAGGTCCACCCTGTTCGTCCTGTTAACAGCATACTGACACAAGCGTAAAAGGAAGATGGCGGTCAGCAAGCGCATGTGGCATCGCTTTTAGCCTAGGCAGGTGGCCATGGCTGTCTCGGATGTCACGTAGCAACCACATGCATCGCGCAACGTCCTTAGCGAGGTTGCTACGGACGAGTAACATAAACCAGCAACATGTTGGAAGATATCCCACGTAGCTAGCTAAGATACCTTGCTGAGTTATCTAAACTCATGATCCCAAGGCTACACGGGCGTTGATGTGCC